GGCAAGTGCCCTTACTGGCCTTGCTACTTACCATCTTAAACTTATGTATATTTGGATATTCATATGAGTAAAACCAGGTGCATTATGGGAAGGAGTACAGGCAATAAAGGTTTATAACTCAAATGTGTCCATGGGAATAGAGAGCCACCCATGATATGCCCCTTAGTTGCATTCCCTGCCTCCTGTGATCTTCTCTCACTCACTGCTTGTTCTTGTGGACTTCTAGTCCTTCTCAGATCTTCTGTCACTTGGCTCCTGAGTAAAGCTTCTTTGAGATTGCAATCTGTGAATGCCCTTATTTCAGTTTCTTGAATAAGAGATTAAAATCCAGAAACAACCAGTTAAAAAACCGACTACTGGTAATGAGCAGAAGGGGGGTGGGGTTAGAGAATCCTAAAAGCTCCAGAGTTCAAGAGAAATCTGAAGAGAGAATGGCACTGGGCTTCTTAATGCCAACACCACAAAGCAGAACGCATACAAGAAATGTTTTAAAAGTCAACGTCCCATCAAACTATTTAAGTCTAATGATGGAATAAGAGCGTTTCCCATATGAGAAAAGACTCCAAATTCTTTATTTTACTTTTCTCAAGGAGTTAATGGAGGAAACACCCCATCGAAAAGAAGTAGCGTGTTATTAAGGAAAGATGAAACCCAGGGAGCAGGAGATGCGGTGTGACAGAAGGGCAAATGGACTCTCCGGGATGAAGGTGATGATGGCTATCAAAGAGTAGCAGCCGTGCAGCAAGCTCGTCTCACCTTCAGACAGCAAGAACACCAGGAAATGGTGCCACTGCTACAGAGAACACTCCAGTGGCTCCTCAGAAAGTTAATCACAGGGGACAGCACACAGCTCAGTGACAGCACTTGTCTAGCATGCACAATGTCCTAGGTACTATGCCCATCACCACAAAAGGAAAAGGACAGAGGGACACCAGGGGGGTTAATACGGGATTACACGACTGCAATTCTACCCCTAGGAATATATACAAAAGAACTGAAAATAGGTACTAACAAACATGTGTACATGAATTATTTGTAGGAGCTACTGAGCACAAGAACCAGAAGGTCAGAACAATCCATGAATGGACAAAAAAAATATAGTCATATGATGAATATTATTAGGTCAAAAAGGAGAAATACATAGAGTATTATTTCATGATGAAATAGCCATAGTTCTTTTGTTGTTCAGTTTTTTGTTTGTTTCTTTCTTTCTTCCTTTTTTTTTTTTAAAGATTTATTTATTGCATGTAACCTGCAGGCCAGAAGAGGGCATCAGGTTTCATTATGCTTGGTTGTGAGCCACCATATGGTTGCTGAGAATTGAACTCAGGACCTCTGGAAGAGCAGCCAGTGCTCTTATATCTGAGCCATTTTTCCAGCCCCTTTTTGTTTCTTTCTTAAGACAAAGTCTTCTCATATGACCCAAGTGTGATGCAAATGCATGTTTGAACTCCTGATACCCCTCAACCTCTCAGATTACTGGTATTGGCCTGGTGGTGGCGTACTCCTTCAATCCCAGTACTTAGGAGGCAGAGGCAGGTGGATTTCTGAGTTCAAGGCCAGCTTGGTCCACAGAGTTCCAGGACAGCCAGGACTATTTCACAGAGAAACACTGTCTCAAAAAACAAAACAAAACAAAACAGATTACAGGTGTGAACACCCAGCTAAAGGCATAGTGGTTGTTTTGTTTTGCAGTGCTGGTGATTGGACCTAGGGCTTCACGTATGCTAGGCAAGTGCTCCTCTACCACTAACTACAACCCCACTCCCAATATGGCTAATCTTTTTTTTTTTTTTTTGGAACAGGGTCTCACTATATATCCCTGGCTGACATAGAATTCCCTGTAGGCCACACTGGCCTCAAACACAAAGAGATCCTCCTGTCTCTTGCCTCCTGTAAGCTGGGATTAAAGGCATTCACCACATTTGGCCTAATATGGGTAAAAAGGCCTGTCATTCAGTCCCACTCACATGAATTGTCTAGGATAGTTACAGCCATAAAAAACAAAAGGCAGACTGGAAGTTCCCAGAAGCTGGGAGAGAAATACTGGTGGGGAGTGACTTCTAAAAGGCTACAGGCTGTTCTTGGGGGTAATGAAGATGTTTGGGATAAGCCAGTAGTACACTGCCTACTTTTAAGAGGTTAGTTTTATATTGTAGTGATGTGAAAATTTATCCTCCCACTCCCCTATATCTTTATCCTCTTGTATACTACTAGTCGACCCCAGGGTCTCATGCACGCCAGGCACTGAGCCACACACCTGGCCTTGATTTTTGTGGACAGTCCCACTAATGTGAAATTGGTAAGACAACCTCCTGTTTTTAAATGCACTACAGATATCTTAAGATCTAAGGCTGACAGCAATGACAAGATGAGCTGACATTACTTCACAAACAAAGCCTGGGGTTCCTAAATAAATTAATACTTCTAGTCGTTAACTAGAGGTGTCCCTCGGTATCTGTAAGGTATTTGTTCTAGGAACCAACCTCACTGGTCCTCTCCCAGTGGACACCAAAAGCTAAATGGTCCACTATCTGCAGACGGTCTACTTGTGTTTCCCCACATCCTTCAAATATCTCTTTTATATAGCCTATTTCAGCGTACATTTTTTTATCCTCATTGTTTCAACTTTATTGTGCTTCAGACACTTTTAGAATCATTTCAAAATTTATTGCAATAAATGTCTCCCTCTGTTTTGTGAATGGCATTTCAAGATCAGAATTTTACAAACTTCCACATAGAATGGTACCAAACAAAAACCAAAATATTCAAGCTTTACTGAAGTAGAAGGGAACACAAGAGCTGGCACTGCTAAAGTATATGTAAGAAAGGTAAACATCTCTTGAATAAAAAAAAAAAAAAAAACAGGTACTATTTCAATGGGAAAAATATCAAAGATAAAAGGAAGGACAAAATTTTCCAAACAGCAGCTAATACTTTTGTCACAATTTGTGTATTTGTGCAAAGACATCATTAAATAAATACTTACCGGTATTTACAAAGGAAAAGTAAGAGGGAACCCTAATGTGTCTGGGTCTTTGATTTACTACCATTCATTCAATCTTCTGGATGCATTAGAGTGCATACCAATCACAAATGTGATTCTAGTTAACTGTAGCTGAGAGCTTGTCAATCAAGTCATCAATAGTGCAAACAAGCAAATGGATATCTGCTTTTTCCTTCATCCTATGGTCACCGTGTTTCTGGAGGATGACATCTACATCTGGGCAGAGATGTGTGCCAAGGAACTATATCATCCTTCATGCCATGGAGCAAGCACACAGGGCAGGTCACAGGGATGGGGCTATGTAACAAGCAGTGGTGTTCCGCTTCTTTAATGAAACTGTACGGAATGTGGTAAAATCCATCTTTGCTGTATTTAGATGGTAAGGACCACTCCCCTTTCGCTTCTATCTCCTTTTTCGCCTCAACAGAAAGTGCATGGAACTGTGTCACCAAGCCATCTGCAGCAGTAGCTACACCAATCAGCGCGACCACCTTTTCAGGCCGTGCAACTGCAGCATGAAGCATGAGCCATCCTCCAAGGCTAGATCCAACCAGAATCTGTGGTCCTTCAGCTACATCATCAAGTATAGAAAGTACATCCTTTCTCCATTTCCCCACTGTGCATTCTGCTAAGTTACCATCTGAACGTCCAATTCCTGAGTAGTCAAACCTTATATAGGCGTGACCTAGAGATTTGCAAAATTCCTCAATTGCCAGTGCCTTTTTACCATTCATATCAGAAAGAAAGCCAGGGATGAAGATAATTCCTAGGTTTTGCCTTTTAGCCTCTTATAAGCCAGGTTTGGAAGGTCTGGTCGGTTAAGGAAAGAGAGTGATAACTTTTGTCTGCAAGCTGGGGGCCACCATGCCCGCGGGGGCTTCCGAGCAGGCGATGCGCTCAGGCTTCGGTGCTGGCCCAAGGACACCTCAGCGTACATTTCTTGCACACACACACACACATGCACACTTGCCATGCTATACATTAGGAGGTTGGAGGACAACTCTTAGGATTCGGTTCTGATCTCCTACTACATGGGTTTAATGAATCAAACTCAGTCATCAGGCTTGGTGGCAAGTGTCTTTACTCACTGGTCCCTCTCAGTGAGTAATTGAAATTATCTGAAATCATCTCTACACTACTTATAAAGCCTAATGTAATGTAGATTCTATGTCAATGTTATTTCACTTTATTTTTATGACAAGAGAAAAGTTTGTGCATGTTCAACTTGAATGCAACTTCTTCCAAATACTTTCTAATCTGTGCTTTCTTGGCTCCACAGATAAAGAACTCACAGGTATGATGGGCTCTATTTATGAAAATTTAGTAATTACTATCACTGTTGATCTAAACAGAATTGTGACACAACTATAAAAAGGATGAGGGTGGAGGCAAGCAGATCGCTGTGAGTTCAAGGCCAGCCTTGTCTATAAATGAGTTCTAGGACAGCCAGGGCAGTTACACAGAGAAGCCCTGTCTTGGGGGGGTATGAGGGAGGGAGGAAGGAAAGAAGGAAGAAAGGAAGGAAGAAAAGAAGAAAGGAAGGAAAGGAAGGATGGATGAGGGTGGAAAATGTTCAGATTTGTGCTTGGCAGTGAGAGATAAAAGAACTCATATTCTCGCCAGGCAATGATGGCACATGTCAATCCCAGCACTCGGGAGGCAGAGGCAGGCAGATCTCTATGAGTCAGAGGCCAGCCTGATCTACAAGATTGAGTTCCAGGACAGGCTCCAAAGCAATACAGAGAAACCTTGTCTCAAAAAAAGAACTGGTAATCTCACATAATTAGAATTCAACCAAACACACCTAAAAGTAGAAAAATTAAGAAGGGATAATATAAGTTGAGTATTTAAATAAATGGAAGTACACGGTGAAAGAAAATGGCAGCAAGAGTTTAAAGAACTTGCTTCAGTGAGAGGGAATGAACAACAGAGTGACACGTGGACCTCCTCCATCCCTGCTCTGGACAATAAAGTGTCCAGGAAGGGCGCTTACCTGCAGAAACTGAGTGAATTCCACATAGTTCAGGTGCTTCTTGCGATTATGCCCAAAGTGCAGTCGGATGAACTCGCAGTCCCAGTTAAAAGGGATGTGATGATGGATAATAGTCTGTCCAAAAATCTCCTTGACATTTTCTTAAAAGGGAAAAGAAAAACGCATCAGTCACACTGACAATGAATCATCCGGTCCACTGCAATGTTCCTACAGAGAAGAATTAAGAGAAGTTTAACAAGTCAAGACCGTCTGCTTCTACTAAGAGGAACTGCAAATCTCTTTGTGCCAAGAAACCCATGCAGGAACATAACTGATACAAAATATAATTTTTCACTAAAGATTGTGTACCATTACATGTAAGGCCACGAGATTCTTAATTTCTCTTGATTTAATTTTAATTAGGAAGCGATTTCTATCTTGCAATATAAATAGCTGCTACTTTACATTCCAGCATAAAATCAATAGTGTTTCCCTGGTTCCTCAAGGAGTCGAATTAAGCCTTTTATTAGAAGTGTGAATACTTAAATTACAGTATAATGCAATATTTGTCATACTAAGTATGGTTTGATTGAGGCGTGATTATTACATTCACACTAGCCTGAATATGACTATTGAAGATAGCTATAAGAAATACTACTAACAGCATATCATTAGCTCAGCAGTAAAGCACCTTATTAAAAGCTGATAATGTCAAAGATAGGGTCTTGCCACAAAGCCCCAAAACCCCCCTAAAATCCATGATTATTAGTCTGAACTATTAAATATTTTAGGGTAAGTGAAGTTAGTGATCCGCTTGTCAATGAAGAACCACACGCTAGCTAACTTTTCAATAGGTACCAGTGGCGCAGTCGCGCTGTCTGAGACAACCAGAACTCTGTTGCTTGTCTTCATGCAGTAGCAAGATCATTCATTTTCTTATGGTCCCAAGTTTATTATGAAAACTGGTTCCCAAATGACTGTTACTTTAACTAGACTAATTCAGAAGCTCATGCCAAAAAGGAAGAAAAAAAAATCATTAGCAAAGTTAAGAGAGCAGGAAGCCTTTTTAGTAATGTCTTCAGAAACAAATTATTTTCCAATTTAAGCCAATTTCATTAGTGAAAGGGTTTTGCCATTAATAGCTCTCAATTATCCTAAAGAATTAATAAACATAGGTTTAGTGTTTTATAATCACCTCTAGCTATGTTGTTTTCTCTGATATCGACAGTCTAGGAATACAGTGTCCATCTCATAACTGGCCATTGTGTAATGGATTCCCTTTGTCTTATATACCCTTTTTCTTAATGAAAGTGCTGCATTTGGGCGGAGCCCTGAACTGGAGCTCTTCTAGCAGTCTGAACTCAAGGTGACAGCTCTATTTCAGAGGACGCAGCAAAGTTGAAAGGACGCATTGGATGTCACTGGGAAGATGGGATTCTCAGCTTCTCTTTTACAATGGATGCAGGGTTTCTTAGCTAAGGAGCAACAAGACCTCAGGGTTTTCAACCCATGTTAAGTATGACCACCTTAAAAAAAAACAAACTAGACACTGCAGGGCTTTTATTCTGAAAAGACTTCAGTATTAACTCATGAGGTGCTGGCTTAAAACAATGGGAAAGATTGTCCTTATGACTAGGCCCTGGGGAAGTTGCTGGTGTAGTATGCTTGCCTATCATGCATGAGATCATGGATCCAATCTCCAGTATCCAAAACCCTGGGGGGGGGGGGGAGGAGGATGTCAATGAAATTTCAGATTGTAAAATATGTTAAGGCTTATAAAATAATTAAAACAGTAAGGACTGTAAAATATTTAAAATGTGGAATATCAGTAAAAATAAAATGTTTTTTAGAATCCATCTAATATAATTAGTCACTCTATTCCCAAATTAACTAACTTTATTTAATTTAAAAGTCTAACAAACCAGAAAAAGTAGTGCTGGCCTTTAATCCTGGCACTCAGGAAGCAGAGGCTAGCCTCGTTTACATAGAGAGTACTGGGCCAGCCAGGGCTGCAGTCAGACCCTGTCTCAAACAACAGCAACAACAAAAAGTCCAACAGAAAAGGTGTTTAAGCTAAAAGATCAAAAGCCTAACGGATGACATAAATCATCGTATATATAAAATAATACTAAGATCGAGAAAGAAAATAAGTTACTTCATGGTAACTTTCATTTTAAAGGTTATAATTCACAACATTTAATTATTTAATATGAAATGTACACTCAGACATGGCAGGCCTGAATCTACTTAGCATGATGCTGTCCCTATAACAAATGACAAGGAAAGATATCTGCATAATTTTAATGCAACCGTAGATAAAACTGAATCCCTTTTACATGGTTTGGAAATTATCTTAAGTGTGAAAAAGCCTCATAAAAAAAAATCAAAGACTCAACAACCTTCAAGCAACAATCAAAAAAAGTATAGTCATATCTATACTTTTCTGACATCGCCAAAAGGATATTTTCTAACTAAATTGTCTTTACTCATGTAGACATTTGTTGTATTGAGCCTAGGGCCTTAAGCATTTGAGGTAAAAATCCTGCTACTGATCTCCACTCTTCGTCCCCAATTCATTTTCATTTTTTTATTTTGAGACAGGGTGTCATTGCCGAGGTTGGGGTCTGAACTCACTCTAAAGCTTAAGCAGGCCTTGAATTTACAATCCTCCTGTCTCAGCCTCCAAGTGGCTGGGATTTCAGGCCTACACCATTGTGCCTGTCTGAGTTTTGCTTGGCTTGGTTTTGTTATTTGAAACAATGTCTCATACTGTCACCCAGTATGGCCTTGGCAATCCTGCCTCAGCCTTCTCAAGTCTGGGATTATAGGCATGAGCTACCATACTGGGCTCACAAACTAAATTTATACAATGTATTAGAAAAATAATCCCTTCGAGTTAAAAACTGACTGTTGAAGTGGCACTATCGAGCTAACTGATGCCCCACCAATGCTAAGCAAGCAGTCTACCATGGAGCCACGCCCCGGCACTATAATAAAGGCTTTAGTGGGAAACTCTCTTACTAACATCCTAGCAATCTCTGAAATCTTAGGCTGCTGTTCCAGCAATTAAAATAGTGATCTAAATTACTCATAGCAGGCTCTTAAATACAGAATTGACATTTTCCACAAGTAGTGTTTGGACATTTTCCACTTCTCTCCAAATGGTCCCCTGACGGCAGCTCTGGACATGGTCTCATTGTAATGTCATCCCCCAGTTTATTTACTACTCCATGATACTTCCAGCCCTTTTCCATCACACCCTGAGCTGCAACAGGAGCCACTAGGGCTAAAAGACTGTAAACCTATCTTGGCATCTCTTGAGTTGTAGTCTACAAATCTGTTTCTAGTCCATGATCCTGAAGCTGGCTCAGGAATGTCAGGGATAGTCAAGGACTGAGGTCCAATTTATTATCGCCACTGTTCTTTCACTGAGACGTGTTTACAGAACAGATTTATGTAAAAGCTCTAGTACTAAGGAGCATTTATCTGCACGAAGCAATGGCTCCATCTGCAGCCGAAGCACGTATGTTCCTGGGTCACGAGGTCTTGCATGACCTGAGAGGGGGGACCACCATTAACTCCAAGCATACCTGATTCATCTCACTGCTCTGTGTAACAAGTTTCCCACCCAAAGAGAATCTCGTCTTTCCAGTGGCACACAAGGATTTTTAGCTTTAAATAGCACTCTTTACGAGCACTAGTTCCGTGGCCATGGTTCTGGCCTGGCATGACAGTCACATCTTGGCAGCAAGATCATGATCCAGGAGGTTATACTAGGTTGGCACTGCTAAGAGAAACAGGAGTCCATTCATGTTTCTGACAGAGAAAACAATAGACTTTTCCACTTCCTTTCGGAGAGCATGGGCTTAGGGAAAAAAAGATGCCTTACAATTCCTTTCAAGAGGGAACCGGGGCCAGATAACAAAAGTAGCTTGTCAGTATGTTCTCTTTGCTCAAAAGGAGAGGAGCACGTGACTTGTCAGGAGGGCAGGTAACTGTGACAATGTGATTAAGTAAAAATTGTCCAAGACGTACATTAGTCAGTTTAGCTACATCAGTCCCTTATAAAGACTGGACTGGATGAAATGCACATTTAAGCATAGTATGTAAATATGTCTTAACAGAGGTTTCCATCTCCCCAGCAGCCCACACTGTGTCTCCCCATCTCATCCACCCTCATCCCGCCCCTAGTTCTTATGGGCACTTCCTCCAGGATCTTTATCACCTTTCTGCAGCACAAAATTACCTCTGACCGGGGCTGGCACTCTTCTCCAAGACTGCCACCATGCCTGCTCCATGAATGAGCCTGGAAGGAGCTGCTGTACCAACGGTGTGGCCAGAGAACTCCTCCTGTAGGTATACAAGCCATCAGCCCCGTGACACAGCCCGCCTGCCATCAGCCCAGCTTGCCATCCTGATCTCAAGGATCCCAGCCCAGCAGGAGCCGCTGCTTCCAACTTAAGGGCTTGAGACCAAGCATTCTTATTGCCAGGGGAAATTTTTTTTTTGTCAACAGCTGGGTTTCACCTGCACAGTTCTTAGGGTGAAGTCAGAGAAGCCCTTAGGATACCTGTGGCAAATGGTGACTATCCTTGTGTACAACTAAACAGACACAACAGTGAGACTTGTAGATGTGCTTTTCGGTGAAGGAAAAGTTGGGAGGAAAGAAGAGGAACAACTAGGAACCCAGAAAAGAAAACAAACAGCAACAATAACAACAGGGAAATCAACAGCTGGAAGTCGTGGAGGAGGTCCCAGTTGAAGCATGCAGACTTGCTCCTCGTCAGGCTCTACTTCCAGGAAGGTATTAGTGTCCTGGGTGAACTCTCCGGCACTCTGAGGGAAGGTGTCTGTTAGCCCTTTACCTACCTCCAGAAGGGATTACTGTGTGATCAGTCAAATAGAGCAGTCCTGCTGCCAAATACACGCAAAGTTCGTTTCTCAGGAGAGATGAGTTCACAGTTAAAGAACAGCACAGAAGCTACAAGCCTTAGCATTAACAGTCTACCATCAAGTGACATGAAACCCAGAGTCCTCTCCTTTAACCTCAATCTCTAAGCTACTTTAGTAGCTTGTGCATTTTTTTTTTAAAGCAGTCCTTTCTGTGATGTCTAAAAAAGAATACAAAGAATCTTAAAGTTTCTTCCTGATTTAATCAAACACCAGTGTGCCCCTACTGCATGCCAAATCATCTTCATCTATGGTCATTGGGGTCTCACATCACCCACGTCTAAAGTTTGGTTTCCAGAAGAAAGGGCACATACAGGATTCTTGGTGTTTACACTACCATGTCCTGACACTTGGAATAACAGTGGTGGTTATGTCTTCCCTTTAGAAAAAAGTCTACTTCAAAGGCACATGTGGAATACTTTTTTTTTTTTTTTTTTTTTTTTTTTTTGCTTGCTATATGCTATACATCCTGACACCAACACAGTACTTGGTTTTGAAGGTTTCTACGGTATGGGTGTGTCCTTGGAAAAATTCATTTTGATGAGTTCTCAGTCCTAATAAACATGTGGGAGTGCAATGTGCATGAGTATTTCATAGAAGGTCTAGAGCATACAGTATCTTTTATGTTTCTTCATTAGTAAACAGTTACAAGTTTCTTTTGGTTTTGTTTGTTTTTTTTTAGAATTAAATCTTTGATAAAGCAATAAGTACCTCCTTTTAATAAATGCATGGCAGCAAATAACAGCACCATGCAGTATTACTACTCAATGCACTAGGTTACCTCTTTCTAATCCTACCCAGCAAGATACCAGCACACCAGTGGGTAACAGTGAGACACGGGCACATGTACACTGCATCCAGCACACACCAGTCATGCAATGACCTCCACAAGGCTCATGCTATCTGGCCGTAACAGAGATACACGTCATTAAGTGATTACCCACAACATGCATTAAAAGTTTATTAAAGATTATCAAAGAGGAAAATACTAACTAATGCTTTATTTATGGAAAAAAAAACAGAAACAGAACTCTAGAACCTTTCCTGAGCTTTCATTCTGAAATGTATTACCAAGGCCTTGATATAAGCCCTGTCTCCAGAATGGAGGCATGTCTAACAACAATGAAAACCCTTGTCTGGCACTCAAGTGGATTTCCAATGCTGCTATCTACATAAACACTTGCTACGCTGGTAAGTTTAAATCTATAGCTTGATGCGTGTGTAAAAAAAAAAAAAAAAAAAAAAAAAAACCCTATCTAAAACAAAGGCACAGATGAGAAGAGTATATACAGATAACAGATAACAACAGCACTGCTGCCAGGGGCCACAGAATAAGGCAATGGCAAAGGGATTGGTCTCCATTCTATTGCAGTTTGCACCCAGTGTCTCTCCTTACTTTCCCTTATGTGCACAACAGAAAACTGTGCCTTAAATAGCTCCACCTAGGAAATGGAAGGCCTTTGGTGCAGAGACTTTAACTCTAGTGAACGTGAATATCAAGTTTCGTTCCCCTAAACATGTGTCTATAAATATATAAGAGCAATTCATTTTATTAAATGGATACAAACATAAAAACTGACCTTCATCACACACCCAAAAATCCTATAAAAAATAAATTTCAAGCTGGTGATTTCCTTATGCAGAGAATCTGGAGTCTTGAAATGAGACTTACAAATCTTATTACATGGCATTTGCTGTAAGTAACAGTTGCAATGTTTATTTTCTTAAAGGTGTAAGTCAAACATTCTCTTCTTTACTATCATTGCTTTCAGGTCAGTTGAGAGAGCTGGTCTAAGGGCTGGGTCTAAGGGTAAGCTCAAATGCTTACCTAGAATACATGAGGCCCTGGGTTCAACTCCTAGACCCACAAAAAAAGAAAGAGAAAAAAATGATCTAAAAGTGGGTCCTCAAAACTAGGAATGAAGGACAGGAAGAGGAAAATATCAAAGTCCTTACAGAATGAGAGGAAGGAAAAGAGAAAGGAAAAATGGGGAGGAGGAGGAAGAAACAGAAGGACCTGAACACACTGGGCAAGGACCCCTGCAACTTTTTGATAATCCATTATAATCTTATCTGTAATATATGGAACAGAAAAAAAAAAGCAAGACTCTGGGGAGAAAGGCTCACATGTCCTTCGGATTATGGCAGGTGTTCTTAAAAAAATCAAACTAGTTTTTCAACCTGACTATATTTCTTAAAATCCTAACCCATAAATCATAACCTAAGGGAAAAAACAAAAGAGTCATAATAAGGAATCATAATAGAATTAGGACCTAATTGTATATCCATGAGCTTTTATCTTCATGAAGTAAGGTGTGTGCCAGCCACTCTACTGCTTCCTATATTCATTTTAATCTCCTAATCAACAGTGACAGAAATCTGTTGATGAAGTGTCTGTTCATGAAGTTCATAAAGTGACACTTTAAAAAATGACACACACACACAAGCAGGGGAAAGCAACCGAATGGAGGAGACACAATCCTAAGATGGGAGACAAAATAAATTAGGATCTGATTTTGAGATACCTAATTCTTAATGTGCCCATGATATAACCACAGGGATACTGTCAGTATCTCAGACTCCTGTGTGTCCGCTTCCCCGCATCCCTGCACCATGTTTGGAAGGGAGCTGCGTGAGCAGGTGAGCTGCCTACTGCAGGGAGAATGTTCAGCACTACAGTGTTCATGCTGACTAACTAGGGGATGAAACTGTGCTTTCTCTACAGCTCTGGGTGTTCGGGCAGGAAGTCAACATTCTTCAGGAGACAAAATGCTCAGAGCTTGCTGCAAAGCAGGGAGGACATCCAGTTACATGGCAAAATGTAAAGAGCTCTGCAGAGTATTTTTAAACAAAAATGTTCCTCATGGAGGAGGGTTGAGCCAATAAAAAAGAGGGGGGGAAATTGCCAAAGCAGACAGTGTGTCCACCAAAGTCAGAGGCAAGGTGCAACTGGTCCTGCTGGTGGACTTGTACTTCCTCGCCATTCTTACAACGATGGTGATGTTGCTTCCTTTGTGGTTTTTGTTTTGTTTTTGAGACAAGATCTCCATATAACCCTGGCTGTCCTGAAACTCACTATTTAGACCAGGCTGACCTCAAATAGGCAAAGATCCACCTGTCTCTGCCTCCCAAGTACTGGGATTAAAGATGTGAGCCACAGCTTGCTTTATGTTTAAATAAAAGACATTTCTACTATAACTAAAGCATCAGAGGGGATAATCAGTGATGTGAATTAGGGAGAGCCTGAATTTCAAAGGTTTCTCTACAAATATTTGTGGCAATTCACACCACAAACAGGGGTCAATTTCACTTGTGGAAGATGAAAAGTTGTAGAAGTCTGTCTAATATACCAAACCTTGCTGAACTAAACACTTAAAAGTACCAAGATGGAAACTTTATGTTATTTGTTTTTTAACCATAAGAAAAAAATGTTTCCAAATATTAAAAGAAAGAGAAAAGATAGAGAGGGGGCTCTAAATCCTAAGAACACTACTATTGAAAAATTGCTGAAGGAAAAATTAATCAACAGTGAGCATCAACTAGTTTCTACAAATGAGCACCTACAGAGATGAACAACTCCTGGAAAAAGAAAAATTCTCATCTGTATACTTCTGAGACAATGCTCCTACCAAAGGATTTACATCAATTGCCGCATCAATCCCAGACAACAATTCTGCTTTCCTAGGCTTTGTTTCCCAAACCCAAGGTTCTAAAGTGGGGAGCGGGATTTGGAGACTCTAATCTTGCCCTAACTCCATCATCCCCATGTCCCCTTGTGGGTGGGAAATGGTAGAATAGCAGTTTTCCTAAGGTGCCATCAAGAATCTCCAAACTCCCTATTCAAAAGTAAAGTGAAACAAAACACTTCAAGCGTCAGAAGAGGAACACTGGCGTTTGTACTTTTACTTCATGAAGAGTTTTGCCCAGGCTGGACCAGATGAGGAAAGCTAACTGACTCTTTTAGGAAGGCAAAGTATCAGTGTCTGAACGAACTGAAGCAACATCACTCCTAAATTCCTTCACCTTTTACAATAATCTAACACTCCAAAGAAAGTAACGCCCACTCTTGTATAAATCCCTTTGGAAATTGCTACTTTACTCACTGCCTAGGCCCTAAATAAACAGCAACTTGCATTCAGCAGTTACATTTGGGAATGAAGAGCTGGGCCAGCATTAGGAACTTGTTACTTAGGATCTTTTTTGTTTCCCCTTACCAAATGTCACCTCTCCATTTCCACTCTTGTCAAACAACTGGAAAGCCACTATGAACATGGAATCTGGAGCACATAAAACAGATTCAAATGCCAAAAACTCTTGATAGGAGATCAACCTGGAACATAATAGAAAATGTTACTGGGGCTGGAGAGATGGTGGCTTAGCCATTGAGAACATACAGTGCTCACACAGAAGACCCAGATTGGATTTCCAACACCCACATCAACCATCTGATGATTCAGTGTCCTCTTTTGATCACAAGGCACTCAAACACACTCACACACAATTATTTTTGACTACTGGCTAGAAGAGAATAGAAAAATACTAGACCTTTTTATGAATCAGAGGTGGAGCTTAATAAACATTTTAATATAAGCTAAAGCATGAGGGTTAAGAGAAACAGGCCCACAGACAAAAGTATGACAAACCTAAGAGCCTGACTGTGTTTCTCAGAAGTCATAGAGGAGAAAACACACCCTGGGTACCCGCTCCTCCTGAGAGTCATCTATACCAGGCATTTGCTATGTGTTGCTAGATGAACTGTACCTCAGGGTAAGCAGGTGACAGATGAAGGATGAATGCATTTGTGGGAGGGAAGGAATAGTATATTTTTGTAAGCCCTTAACAAATTATCAGACATGAGCATTAATCAATAGCTCCTAACATCACAGAGATAAGAGCAGGCCAAAAATGAGCCTGAATTTGATCAGTAGTCTTTCAACCTCAGCACTGCTGACATTTTTTAGCTGGATAATCTTTTGTTGTTGGGTCTTCTGTGGTTTGTAGCATATTTAGCAGTACCCCTGGGTTCTGAGCACGAGATGTCAATTTCATCTCTCAGTTGTGATAACTGAAAATGTCTTTAGATATTGCCAAAGATGTCCTAGAAAACAAGATTACCCCCATTGAGAACCAGTGATTTAGAACTAATCATCAATTTAGAGACAATGTAATGCACAAAGGAACATGTTAACTGCTGCCACAGAAACAGCCTATAGGAAACCACAGGACAGTACAGGGGTCCAAGAAAATAAAATTAGAAAAGATGCTCTCTCAGCTTGCATGCCTTCTCCCCTGAAACTCGTGTGCCACAGAGAGAAATGATGCTGTGTTGGCTGAAAAAAATCTATATCTATATCTGAACACACACACTTCAAAATGGGTGTGGAGGCACATGTCTATAACTCTAGCACTGGGGAGAAGAGCCAGGAAAATTAGGAGCGGCCAGCTTCTACTATATAGTAAGTTCAAGGCTAACCTAGGCTACCTGAGAGGAGGGGAGCTCAGAATCTTTTAGAAATAAAAAAAAAAAAAAAAAAGTATTTGTAACAAATTATTCTTTCTGGAGCTTTTGGCAAAATAAGTCAAAGGACAGAAATTTAAATGAAATAAATTCAATAATTGTTTTGGTAATTATCAAAAGTGGGAAAGTACAAGAAATCACTGTATTATTCTGTTATGTTTGAAAAGAGAGTAATACATTTTTAATGAACCCTGAAAACAAAAGGTGAAATCTCACATTACTGAATTTCTAGAACTTAAGCCCTAAGACATATATTTAGTGATCAAAATAACACAAACCTGCCTTTAATGACCTCACAGGGCGTTCGTGTGTCAGCTACAGGAGTCATAGCAACGTTGACACTGAGATTCCATGATTCTGTTTTATTCTTTCCTTTCTTCCTTCTCTTCTTCTCTTTTTGACAGGGTCTCACATAGCCCAGGCTGGCTTCAAAGTCTCCATGTGGTAGCGGATGATGTTGAACTCCTGATCTTCCGGCCTCCACTCCACACCCCCACCCCCGTGCTGGGACTACCGGCTTGTGCACCTACATGGCCTGCAGATTACAAAATCACCATCCTAGGTCTTTCGAAAGCTTGTCAAAGATGGTTTGACTTTAAAGTAAATAGGGCTGGGTGATGGTGGTGCACACCTTTAATCCCAGCACTCGGGAGGCAGAGGTGGGCGGATCTCTGTGAGTTTGCGGCCAGCCTGGTCTACAAAGCTACACAGAGAAACCTTGTCTTGGAAAATTAAATAGATAAAGTAGGGTACAGTATCAAGGAAGAAGGATGACCCTGAACAAGTTCCTTAGTCTCTTGGTTTCCTTATATGTTAAACTTTTAACATTTAAGTCTCAAGCTTGTTTTGAGAAATCCATGATATAAAGCATATACACAATTGCTCAGCACAAACAGACACTGTTGCACTTTAGCTATAACCATCACCATTACTACAAAATAGACCCAGAGGCATCATCATATGCAGGTCTGCAGAGAGGGGTGACACCTGGGCTCAGAATGGGCTCTTAAATTCTATACCTGAGATTTGGGATCTGCCCACCCTGTATTGCTGGCAGACTCCCTGTATCCTTCCCTGGAAACTATGGTGGCACACTGGGCTGTGGTGGCACATACCTTTAATCCCCGCATTCAGGTAGCAGACACAGACAGATCTCTGAGCTGGAGGCCAGCCTGATCTACAAGTCCCAGGACAGCCAGGGCTACACAGAGAAATCTTGTCTAGGGTAGGGCTGGAGGGAAACATTGTGCAATAGACTTCACTGACAGTCCTAGGAGCTTGGAGCCTATGGGGCACGCAGGCCCTCCATGCACCACAGCTTTTGTGGCCATTTATGTTTCCCCATCTCTAGCAGGAGAAAGTCAGAAATGCCATGTCCTGGAACTTTGCCAGATGTGACCCCCACCACCCGGCTCGCTTGTTCTTTTTTGTTTTGTTTATAATTCTTTTCTATTTGGCTCTTTTTGCTATTTTTGTTGCAACATACCAGAACCAACCATGCATTCCTCAAAAGCAACAAGCTGGGTGAGGTGTAGCTAAGCATGCCTAAGGCCCTGGACTCCACACCCAGCTCCAAGAGGGAGAAAAGGATGAAGGGAAGAAAGAAAAGGAGGAGAGGGAAAAGCAATATGGGGTGCTGAGCTTGAATGAAACAAAAGGTCAGTAGTGAATGGGGTTGCTGGGATTGACTAGAGGATGTAACACAAGGGGAACGATGGCGTAGGCAGGGGGTACCAGAAGCACTCATTAACTACATGTTTTTAAATTCCTGAAATTTATAATGAAGAATGACCAGCATTATTTCTTCTGTCTATAAAAGTAATTCTAGGGTGGTGGTGGAGCACAACCTTAATCCCAGCACTCAGGAGGCAGAGGCATGTGTAACCTCTGTCGGTTCGAGGCCAGCCTGGTCAATAGCATGAGTTCCAGAACAGCCAGGGCTACACAGAGAAACCCTGTTAATAATAATAATAATAATAACAACAACAATTCTAACACTTAAAAGCAAAAGATGAGCTGATTATTTTTAAATATGAGCAAACATGCAACAATTTGATTTTTTTTTTTTTATTGATTTTTGTTGTTGCTATTCATGTTTTGAGACAGGGTTTCTCTGTGTAGCTCTGACTGTCCTAGAACTCACTCTGTAGACCAGGATGGCCTCAAACTCACAGAAATCCATCTGGTTTTACCTTCTGAGTGCTTAGATTAAAGGTGTAACAATTGGACTTTTTAAGTGTCCAGAGTTGGGCATCAAGAACACAAGTAATCTTGAAACATAGAATGCATCACTTTGAAACAGATTTCATGCTCAGTAGTAAAACTTGCTTTTTTTTTTATAACAGAAAATCAAAGACTAGCTACCTGTCTGGCTAAGGCTATAGCTGCTGGCTAGTAAGTGGAATTTATCCAACAGACGTGTTTTCCAGGTGCCCTTGTTGGCAACATTGGGAAATCCTAAGATTTCATACAAACATCCAATTTTCAGATTTCCCTTGACAAATTGCAAGCTTGGGCAACAGAAGGCTTTTGGTCCTAAGTGGCACTTGGTAGCTCTTGGTGCCAAGCAGGAACTGCCTCCAAAAGAGACAGCTGGAGGCCTTGGCTGCCTATGCCTTAGGACACTGGTGACTCACAGAGGTTTACGATATGCAGTACACAGCCCCTGTTAAAATGCAAGCCCTATGGAACCTGCTAAATTGATACATTTCGCCTATCAGCATATTCAGACATCCACCAAACTACTGAGCAGCTAGGGTACCGGAGCCAGCGGAGCACATCTGCAGGCATTGACATTCCTACTGGTCCATCTGCAGGAGATAATCAAGTGTGGGATAGCTCACCAGGTCCCCAGACTTTGAGGGATGTCCACCTCATCCCTGGCCAAGGTCCACCAGGCCAATCCATTTCTTTAGTTATTTTTATGGGGTGCAGTGGGGGTAGGGGGCACACTGAACTCCTGATCTGCTTCTACCTCCTGGGTACTTGGGATTTTTATTTGAAATTGGGTATTTTATAACTTTGAAGTAACAAATTTTGTGAATGTGCAGTACAGTTTCCCACAAAGTCCCCTATAAGAATGGAAACTAATATAAAGCCAAAATGTGTATGTTACTTTTGTAGTTTTCTACAGGATTCCTACCAAAATGAATGGGTCTTCAACATACATGGTACATTAAAAACAAAAACAAAAACACTCATGAAGAATCAGAGAAAAAAATTGGGTCTTCGCGGTATAGCAGATAGAACTTCCAGATGAAATTCTGACTAGACTAAATATAGAAACCACTACCCTAGAAGTTAGTTTCACAGAAGCAACTGTCTAAATATTTGAGATCAGATCACATGATAATAGTCTCCGTGATCTGCATTTAATGCATAAAATCACTTTGCTTTTCATTACACAACTAGAACTCCCAAGTTTAAGCCACAATCTCACAAATAACACTTGGATGATGGCTTGACTTTCAGACAACTCATCAGGCTATTTATACCACACGATGCTGCTTCTGCGTGACTGTCTGTATCAAGCACCATATTTTACCATCTAATGGTGGACAAAAGATAGCAAGAAAGAGCAGTTTCTGGGCTAGAAAACATTGGGGGAAATACCGTATTCTTTTGTGCTAATCAAATTCTAAAAGCAATATAAAAGCAGCCACAAAAGACTTACCTAAAAGCATGCATATTCTAAAAGCAAGTCTCAGATCCAACCAACAAAATAGGACTCGTGTCCACTCCCAAACCAGCTCTGCCTCATATGTCATCAAGGTACTTAAGCTTGTCTCCCCTGATTCCACTCACTCCCTTGGTTTCCCTTTGTCTTGGGGATTCTAAGTAGTATCACTGTGGAGGCAGAGGCAGGGAGATCTGTGTGAGTTCCAGGGCAGCCTGGTCTACAGAGAGTGTTTCAGGACAGTCAGGGCTACACAGAGAACCTTAACTGAGGCCAGAGTTAAAGTAACAATTCCATGCTAATCCTTCATTCACTCTCCTGGGTAATGGTGACCGCAAGAAAGGGACAAATGGAGAAAGAAAGATTAACGGTTATAGATTAGAAGCAGAAAATAGGACTGGATGTTAAGAGAACCAATCATCTGCTCTGAGCCACTATTCCTTAACTGTTAAACAAAGGTTGACATCTCTGAATGAGTGAAACATTATCAAAAAGTTTGATTCTGTTGGATTAAGATGCAAACCCTTAACCATAATACTGAGCCTTTCCAACTGCCTGAGATTTCGCCCTAGAAAAATTCTGATACAAATTCTGCACTTATATTCAGGAAGTCCAACAACCTCTGAACTACACAAAGCTGCTACTGATACACTCTGCCAATACTTGGATTCTACCTGGCCTCATGAAAAATGTCCTACTTTGACAATATATTTCAGCCTACAGGAATCATAAAGTTTCAAATGAGAACTAAAACAAGATGTTTACAAAAGGCATGAGATACTTATGTGAAAACATGGGCATTCTAAAAACCATGTCTGGAACTGGAGAGGTGGCTCAGAGGTTGGAGTACTGGCTGCTCTTCCAGAGACCCAGCTGTGACTCCAGTCCCAGGGATTTGATGCTCTAACCTGGCTTTCTTGGGCATTACCTGCACTGACATACATGCATGCAAACAAAAAATAAAAATAAAAGGAGGAAATAGGGCCAAGTGTGGTGATGCACAGCTTTGAGTCAGGCACTCAGGAGACAGAAGTAGGTGAATTTATGGGTTCAAAGCCAACCTGGTCTACATAGTGATTTCTAGGACAGCCAGGACTACACAGAGTGTCTCTTATTTCAATAAATACATACAAAACCAGGTTAACAACAAACTTGACAATATCTTCTAAGAGAGCAAAATGTATGTGCTACCTTCAATTAATTCAAAAGAAAGAATTATAATTAAATAAATTAATTTTCATAGACTTTCCATCTAACCACTTCTTAGACTCTATAAATGACCTGATTGGCAGCTAGTCTGATATTTTGTTTTGTTATTTTTTTCAAGACAGCTCTGGCAGTCCTGAAACTCACTCTGTAGACCAGGCTGGCCTGAAACTCACAGAGATCCACCTCACCTGCCTCTACCTCCAAAGTGCTGGGATTAAAGGTGCACTACCACACCTGGCATCTTATCTGACATTTTTAAAATTTATTTATTTATTATGTATACAACATTCTGCCTGCATGTATCCCCTGGGGAGGGCACCAGATCTCATTATATATAGATGGTTGTGAGCTACCATGTGGTTGCTGGGAATTGAACTCAGGACCTCTGGAAGAACAGTCAGTGCTCTTAACCTCTGAGCCATCTCTCCAGCCCCCTGATCTGACATTTTTAATACTAGACAAAAATGTATAACTTTTATCCAACACCTGTCATTTACAATGATGAATCTTTCCAAGTCATTAAAGACTCTGAATAAACATTTGTTGAATGTCCAAAAGTTCATGCACTGTGCCAAATTCTATGAGACAGTCAGCTCTGGCAGTCCTGCACTAGTCAGCTAAGTAGATTGCAGGAAACCAGTCTTGTCCTCTCCAAACTTCTTTTCTAAAGCATGATCGTATTTATAGTGATGGATAAAGACTCTTCACTGCCCAGTTTTTTACACTGTATCTAGGGAAAACATCCTATGGTCTGGGGATATTACTGAAAATCGCCAGATAGTGAACAATTGTTTTCTTTAGGTAATTCAATGAACATTGTATTGCTCTATAATCCAGATTCATGCAATTTTACTAACATTAACAGCTCCCCTTGAGGAATAGACTAACTCCACAGTAATATGAATCTTATTGCTTCTGTGGCTTCACACCTATACACTACACACTGCCAAGCTAAAAGTATGCCAAAACTGGGAGTCATTATGTTTAAGACAAAGCAAACGCCCAGCACACAAAGTCTCCAACTACATTTTCTGCAGCAACTGTGTGCACAGTTGTCACACAAAGGTACTTACAACATAAATTCCCATTGTGCGTACGGACACGGACGGGGACACACACACACACACACACACACACACACACACACACACACACACACACACGTTCTTTCATGTCCCATGGCAGTCTTTTTTCCCTCCCCGGAATTCTTCTCCCTCTTTGTCCCACTACCAGAATTCTCCACTGGTTTCATTCAAGTGTCAGCTCTCCTGTGATGTTATCCTAACTTCTTGAAGAGTTAGCGAAGCTTCCTGGGTACTTCTACTTTCTATATATATGATCACTCTATCTTACCCCCAAAATACTGACTTTTTTCTTTGTGGTCTGGTTCTCTCTTTTCCACTAAGCTATAGCTTACTCTTAAGGTCAGCAACCTCATTTTATTCATGCTTGCATTTAGAAAGCCCAATAGTACCTGGCAAATTGTGGTGTTTAACATAATGTTTTCCAATGAAATAATTAGACAGATGAAGACAGACCACTCCCTAAGTTCTTCATTGTGCTTATATCATCCTAACATGTTATAATTTATTTTTTTGTTTTCTTTATTACCTTCGGTGCCTTGTTTTCTGATACATTCTAACACTAAGAATAATGCCTGACACATCAGCAAGTACTCAGTATTTTCAAATGAATAAAAAAAATTAGTTATAAGGAGCCCCTCCCTATCAGATTATTCAATATAAAATACGACTTCTGTCATGTAAATATTTTTTCAGAAAATAAGAAATGACAGCATGCTTGATGATGGCAGTAAATAATACCATTTTACAAGTTTCAAAGGAAAGATATTGATTGGTATTAAAACTCTAGATACAGGGCTGAAAGAATGGCTCAATAGTTAAGAGTGCTTGATAATCTTAAAGATGACACAGATCCAGTTCCTAGCACCACATGGCAGCTCACACTATCTACAACTCAATAACCAGAGAATGGAGGCTGTCTTCTAGCCTTTTCACATACCATGCACATAGTGCACACACATACATGCAGGCAAAACACTTACACATAAAAATAAATACATTTTTTTAAATAACTCAAGATTCAGGCTGATCATAGTGATACACCTTTAATCCCAGCACTCAGGAGACAGAAGCAGGAGGATCTCTGTGAGTTTAAGGCCAGCCTGGTCTACAGAGTGAGTTCCAGGACAGCCAGGGCTATGTAGTAAGACCTTGCTACCATCCCCCCCCAAAAAAAGATGATATGAAACTTACAGTTTTACATTTTCAATAAAACATATGATTAATTTTCAGAACAAACTTAAAAGTTCTTACCCATCCTTGGTTTGATCAGCTACTCCTGCCAAGAGCTGCACAATCTTTGGGTTGCTGTTTGGATCATTGTACAGGCCTAGATAGCGCTGAACGAAGTCTTCTGGGGTCATGTAATGTTCTCCATCCACCTCAGTACTGGCATACTGAAAAGCAGACAAAAAAGCACATTTAACAAGTACGATGATTCAGCATTGTGTGGTAGCTAACAGCTGTTTTGGGGAAAGTGAACCAAAGGACAGCACTGAAATCAAAATAAGGATAATGAATGTGGGTATCGCCTCTGGATAGTAAAAAAGTTAAACATCCAGATACCAACCACAGTAAAGAACTGATACATGGTCAACATTGATGAACCCTGAATATCCCGCTAAGTAAATGGACCAAACACAAAAGGCCTGCAGTGTAGGATCCCATTCACATCAAATGTCCACAAAGGCAAGACCATGGATGAGAACACAAATTATGACTGCCAGAACCTGAGAGCTCTTTGAGAATGATGGATGTGTTCTGGAGTAACATAATGGTGGAGGTCATACATTATACATATTTTAAATAATCACAATAGCAACCTTTATGTCATGTGACTATTCAATCTCAGTTAAAAATACATGAAGTGGGGCTGGAGAGATGGTTGCTCTTCCAGAAGACTGGGCTCAGTTCCCAGCAACCACGTGGCAGCTGGCAGCAGTCTGGAACTACAGTTCCAGAGGCTCTAACTCCCCCGTCTGGTCTTCTAGGGTACTGCAACCATGTGGCAAGACAACATGCAGGCAAAACACTCACACACATAAAATAAATGAATTTTTTAAAATAAATAATTAATAAAAATACATAGGAGTCAGCGAGATGACTCAGGAGGTAAAGGCACTTGCTTGCAAGACTGACGATTTGAGTTCAATTCTAGGAAATCACACAATAAGACAGAATCGATTTCCAAATGCTGTCTGTGAAAATGTATTGCTCTCATTGCTAAAAAAGAAAAAGCTGATTGGCTGATAGCTAGGCAGGATTTTTGGGGCACAGAGAATGCTGGGAAGAAGAGAGGTAGAGTCAGAGGAATTACCAGCAAGACACAGAGAAGAAACAGAAAATGCAAGATGAGAGGTAACTCCACATGGCAGAATGTAGATTCATAGAAATGGGTCAATTTAAGTTGTAAGAGCTAGTTAGTAATAAGCCTGAGTTTTTGTCAAGCATTTATAATTAATATTAAGTCTCCATGTCAGTTATTTGGGAACTGGAGGGTGGGAAGGAAAAGTCCACCTACAGCTGTCCTCTGTCTTCCACACAAATGCTATAGCACGCGCATGCACGCACGCACGCACGCGCACACACACACACACACACACACACACACACACACACACAAAATAAATAAATAAGTGTAAAACTACACAAGCTGGGGAATACAGCTTTCCTATCATGAGTTTAATCTATAGCACTGCTACAATAAAATAAGTAAGTAAAAATAAAAGCATTGGTAAGATAAGAGATACCGGAAAAAAACAAGCAAAGTGAAAGAGAGGCCAAGGCCTGGGAGGTGAGCTTGCAGACACCTCACTTCCCAGATGCAGCCTTTTGTCAAGAGCCCATCAGAGTCAGGTAAAGCTGCGGGTGACGCACAGGCTGCCATTAAAAATGAAATTACTGCCTTCCAAGTCCCAGGAAAAGGAGGTAAAAAGCCTTCTATACCTCATGCTAATTTATTGAAAGTATGCTTACCAAAGAAATCCCTTATCATTTCAAGGGCTCAGTGCATGACTAAGCATCATTGTCAACAAAGACTTAAGATCAGGGGATTTCCCGAACTGAACACTAGAAGAACTAACTCATTAAATGTCAAATATACACATACCAAAAAAAAAAATTTAATGTAAAAGTCCTCACTCACTCTCATAAAACTGCAGGACAGCACAATAAAAAAGAATAATCCTAAAAGTCCCCAGAGAGAAACACTGGGTCAGAATAAAATATTAGGGCAACATTTGTAGACAGTGGACAAAGGCCCAAGAGATTATTTCCAACTGGTTAATAATGCTAAACTTGCCATCTAATGTAAAGTTAGCTACACTATTTTGAGATATCCATATTCTCAACATTACTTTCCTGCCTTCGTGTTCTGGTTCTTGGGAAACCATGGATTGTTGTTGTTGTTGTTGTTGTTACATGTTTTCATTTGGGGCGGGCACGCATGTCACAGAATGAGTGTGGAGATAAGAGAGCTACTTTCCATAGTCAGTTCTCGCCTTCTACCACGTGGATCGCAAGTATCAAACAAACTCAGGTCGCGGAGCCTAGTGCCTTCATGGGCTCTGCTAGCTCACTGGCCCCATTGCATTTTTTTTTTTTTTTTTTTTTAAGAGAGAGTGAACTAAACCAAAGAGTATGTAGGAATCAGGGGCAGGCGATCCACTGAGGAAGTGGGCCAGGGAACCAGGACCACAGTGCTGCAGCCATCCAGGGTACCTACTCCTGACTGGGGCAGACAGAGCCACAAGAAGCAAAGCCATAAGAAAAAAACAAAGACCAGATTACCCAAGGCCCAGAGTGAGAAAGAAAGGGATGCTGGGAAGAATGCAAGTCTGCTCAGATGCCACTTCCCTCACTAAGCTCTACCTTAATCACCTGTTTGGCTGTGTGACTACATCCCACCTCCTGTTACCTCCACGGTTTTTCCTTTCACTGTGTTTCCAGCACTGTGTTTTACCATCTCCCACCTGAAACATCAGAGGAGAATCTTTGTCTAGTTGGTTCCCTAATATGCCCCCAGCAGCAAAAACAGTGTCTGGTACATAGTAGGCACTCAAAAAACATCATTAAATTAATGAATCAGTAGTAGGTATATAATCAAAGCAAATAAAAGTTTGATGATCTTTAACTATGAAAATGTATTCTTGTTGGATAAAATAGAAAACATCAAAATTAATGACTTGAGCTGGGGTGGTAGGGACTCACACTTGTAATCCCAACACTCAGAAGGCTGAGGCAGGAGGATCATACAAGGTTTGAGAATGGCCTGCATCTGGTACAGGCATTTACCACCAAGCCTGACAGCCTTTGTTCAAACCCCAGAACCCACATGCTGGGAGGAGAGAACAGAGTCCGCTAAACTGTCTTCTGACCTCCACACGTACACTGTGCTAGCATTCATGAGCACACACACATAATAAATAAAATGTATTTTTTTACACCAGGCATGGTAGCAACACACCTGAAATCCCAGCACTGTGGAGGCAGAGGCAGAATCAGGACTATCATTCCCAGTTCAAGGCCAGACTGGTCTGTGTAACAAGATCCTGCCTCAAATAAACAATGGGAAAAGCACAACTTAGCTCAAAATAAACAATACCTGAAGTCAGAAGAATGCTGATAGGGAATAGTAACTAAACACTGTAACTGTATTGAGAAGAATGGAGGAGAAACCTGAAAGTACTGTAAGAAAGCTTGCCTAGCTCACCCACAAAGCCCTGGGCTCAATCCTGGTACTTAAGGAAAGAGAAAAGCCTATAAACAGCAGCATAATAATATAAAAGGAAATACCAAAATAAATAGCTAAAGGAGGTTCAAGTGGCTGCCTCTGGGGAGTAAGAACAAGAAGGATGGGGTGGGGGTGGGGTGGGGGAGACTGCTGGTTTGCTCTTTAGTTAACTCTTTGAAATCCATGTGAAGGGGGGGGGGGGGTAAACAAACCAACCAGGAGGGAATTTAAACCCAAAATGTTTCCTTTGTCTTCCTCTAAAAACATCAAATGAGCATGTGCTGTGCCACCTTGCAAAAGAAGGAGCCTAAGGTGGCCTTCTTCACTGACTGCCACTATCAGGAGCACTTGAGAAGCATCATCCTCCAAATGACTGACTCATGCCCTGGCCACGTGACTACAAAAGCCATTCCTGAAGCAGCCTTGTGTTTTAATCCTGGCTCTACTACAAATCAGCTCATGTGAGTCTTTAGACAAGCTCATTCTTTTCCTAGGACTCTAGACCATGCACACTCCTGTGCCATGAAGATAAAGTAAACCTTTGATATACTGAAAAGTGGGTCTATAAACAAAGGATCAAAAGAAGAAAACAGCAAACCAGGGGCTGGCGAAGTGACACGGCAACCGCATAAAAGCACTGCATACTACTCTTGGATGGCTCACAAATGCTTGTAACTCTAGCTCCAGAGGGACCCACAGCCTTTTACCTTCTGAGACACTCACATTCAAATGTACATTACCAGGCACGCACGTGCACACCCATACACACAGCGTTAAGAATATTAAAAATCAACCTTAAAAAACAACAAACTGGGGGCTGGAGAGACGGCTCAGAGGTTAAGAGCACTGGCTGCTGTTCCAGAGGTCCGAGTTCAATTCCTAGCATCCACATGGTGGCTCCCAACCACCTATAATGGGGTCAGGTGCTCTCTTCTGGTGTGCAGACATACATGCAGGCAGGATACTGTCTATATAATAAATAAATCCTCAAAAAAAAAAACAAAACAACAACAAACTGGCCAGGCAGTGGTGGTGCACGCCTTTAGTTCTGGCACTCGTGGTGGGGGGTGGGGGGGGGGCTGGGGGGACTAGAGGGACTGGGGGGATAGGGGGGCTGGGAGGGGGCTGAATCTCTGTGAGTTCGAGGCCAGCCTGCCTGGTCTACAAATTGAGTTCCAGGACAGTCAGAGCTGTTACACAGAGAAACCCTGCCATGAAAAAACAGAAACATATATAAGATATTAGCAATATCATGAAACGAATTCTAGACACCGATATTAAGTGTAGTCTAGCAGCTCTTGTAACACACTTCTTCCCTTGTTCTTTCTTCAACATTTGCCATAGTAGGATTTTTGGTTTATTTTTATTTCAGAAACAGGGCTCCCTGTATTCTGGGCTGGCCTCAAACTCACTATAACCTTGAACTTCAGATCCTCCTACCTCCACCCATCCTTCTCCCCAAAACCCCCAGTTCTGGGATTACATGCATGAGCTACCCTGTAGTGCTGGCGATCAAACCAGGGCTTGAAGCAAGCTGGGCAAGCACTCTACCAGCTGAGCTACATTCTCAGGCCCTGGACAGGTTTAAAAAGAACACAAAATCAGCAGAGCTAGGGACAGGCAGGAGTGGAGCAAGGCACAGTAGTCATGGGGTTACTGGAAGTG